TTAATGTTACAAAATTCCTGGGATCTAGAGCCATTATAGAGGCGCTTCAGCTGGAAGGAAGCAGAAATGGATGAGATGTATTATTTATGGTGAAGGCAGGGCTTTATGGCAAACCAGGAGCAGCCCAGTGCTGGGCAGCTGACGGCAGTGATTATCCAGTTATACAAGCAGTGAAATACCACAGCAAATATCCTGCGGTTACTCTGTACTTTTATTCTAGGAATTAACTCCCGTTCCCCGGTAATTGTTTTTCCCCCCATCATTTCTGTGTGCTGTTATAAGAGTCTCTGATGCCTTCTGCCTCCTTTAGGCATTTTTACCTCTCAAAATAAGCACTATAACAGGCAAATCAGAAGGGAAACATTTCCTAACCTTCTTATCCAGAGACCAATACTTAATAAAATGCCAAAGTGATAGATGATAAAGACCAGCAATGAGGTCTTTAATTAAGGTAATTTTTGATGTGAAGCGTGCGCGCAGTGCACAAACGTGAGCTGTTTGAGTCACAAATACAACATTTTCTGCACACATCACTCAGCAGAGGGAAATCCCAGGCTCCTGAGCTTTCCTGCCAGGACAACAGTCACCCTTGGGGCAGCTCTGCTCTGCTTCCCCAGACCTGCGCCTCTGAGGCTCCTGTGCTGCCTTTCTCCTTGAAGGACAGCCCCAAAAGAGCAGGAAACATCAAGGCAAAGAACATTGATTATTTTTTCTTCTCCATGCCAGGACACAATGTGTTTTTCCTAATTTCTGACGGTAATCCGATGGCTGTGATGATCATAACAACTCAATTAGGCCAGAAGAAAGAAAAAAAAAGTGCTGAAATCTAAAGCAGAAGCTCCCTTGCTCCAGCTATTCCCTGCTGTGCTCCCTCCTGACAGTCATCAGTCCCCTGGAACTGAACCACAGCCTGAACGGGCCTCCCCGTCACCCCAAGCTACCATATGCCTTGTCTCTATGACACCATTTGTTTTCTCTTACAGCTATTTTCATCTGTTGTTAAACATTCCTCCGAGATGAGACCTTCTACCTTTATCCCCAGCCAAAACCCATCGCTGGCTCCCTGGGTGGCACACAGCTGCCTCTCCCCCACATCCAAGAGGCTGCAGCTGCATCCCTGTGGTCTCGTCAGCTCTCCCTCTCCTTCCCTTTCCCACCTCCAGTCAGGGTTTTCTAGGAAGACAATGCTCTTCTTCTTCCAAGCCATTACCAGTAAAGCCTGTCAGTGCTCACCAGGTCAAAACCAAGGGCTGGCTCACCTACGCAAAGCAGGGCTGTTACTTGCGGAAGAGTAAAATGAGAATGAGCTGCTAACCCACCTCAGAAACCTGCTCAGATGCTCTCAGATGGAGTAAGAATATCATGGAATCATAGAATCAGGTTGGAAGGGACCTTAAAAAGCATCAAGTTCCAACCCCCCTGCCATGGGCAGGGACACCTCCCACCAGACCAGGTTGCTCAAAGCCCCATCCAGTCTGGTCTTGAACACTTCCAGGGATGGGGCATCCACAGCTTCTCTGAGCAGCCTGTTCCAGTGTCTCACAACCCTCACAGTAAAGATTTTCTTCCTAATACCTAGTCTAAATCTCCCCTCTTTCAGTTTAAAACCATTACCGCTCGTCCTATCACTCTTCTCCCTGGTAAAGAGTCTCTTCCCATCTCTCCTGTAGGTCCCCTTCAGATACTGGAAGGCTGTTGTAAGGTCTCCCCAGAGCCTGCTCTTCTCCAGGCTGAACAGCCCCAGCTCTCTCAGCCTGTCCTCATAGCAGAGGTGCTCCAGCCCTCTGATGATTTTCATGGCTCTCTGCTGGACCCATTCAAACAGGGTCCCATGTCATATCACTTCTCATCTGTAACATGTCCTCTGTGGCCTGCTGCAGCGCTGGAGAAACCAAGAGCACAAACGTCCTTTGCTGTCACTGACCAGTGTTATGTGACTGATGGCTCATCCCTGCCAACACGAAGGAGCAGAGACACCGCGACAGGCAGAGGAAGCACCCAGAGCGGTGGCAGCCTGGCCTGGTCCAGCAACAGCTCTTTTCCACTAGAACCTGCATTTCTTTCTCAGCTGTTGACACCTGGGCTGGCCCCACAGCAACCAGCTCCACCCGGAGCTGTGGCCCAGCCGGGCTCTCCCCATGCCCAACATTTAATCCCTCCCAGCGCTGCAGGGATTTACCGCCCGGGGCCAACACCAGCTGGAGCATCTCAGACCTTATCCCATTTTGTAGCACAGACACGCTCTAAAGGAGCCAGAAATGGGAAGGTGAATGTTCTGCTCCACCTGAGTGGACATAAGGGAGGTTGCACCAAGCCTGTCCCAAACCTTTTTCATCCTCTCATCCCTAGCAGATGCAAGAGAGGATGCCTCCCGCTGCAGAGGGGGTTAGGCACAGGACAATGACACTGGCCAGAGGGGACATTGCTCCTGGAGGCCCACAAGCAGCATTAGGATAGTGCTCAAAATAATGTTTCTGTTGCTGGATGGAGGTCAATGGAGCTTCCAGACCCATGGAGGGGACCTCAGAGATGCTTCTCTGTGCGCAACAGGGCCACAGCTTTAGATGAAGGGTTTGCCCCAGCAGCAAGTGCTAAATCACTGCTGGCCAGAAATTACTTTTAACAAGACCTTTTTGAAAAAGAAAAAAATAACAAAAAAAACCCAACCCAAACATTTCACTTCATAAAAAAGGAAGAGGTGACCAGATTAGAAAGTAAACCTCCAGGCTGCTTTTAATGCCTGTTTGTTGGACTGTGCTTCTTGTGTTGCTCTCCTGGCAGCACAGCCGGGAGCAAAATAACAGGGAGGCCCTACACCCTGCAGACCTACAGGGCCACCCCACAACGACAACAGCCTCCCCTCTTGGTGCAGGAAACCCCCATTTCCTTTTCACATCATGAGGAGAAGTCACTGAGTCATCTACAGCAGCTGCAGCCTCTTTCCAACCTTTTCTACCATCTGATACCTCAGTGGCTCAGCCTGAGCATCTTTTCTCCAACATTTACTTTTTTCCTCCCAAGCAATGAGAATTTTTTGGTCAACCAAACACTACCAAGCACCACGCTGACAGACTCAGTTCTGATTTCCTCCTCACTTTTGAGGGGAGAGAGGCAGAAGTGACCCACTCACTCCACACTTTGACAGAGGAAGTGAATGCCTTTAGAAAATTAGTTACCTGTAGTCTTTCTTTGGACAAGGAAGTAAACAACTATTTATGTAACTAGTTTTGATGCTTTAATTGTGTGTCATTGCACAATAATTCATACTTACACTTGAATATGCATCATTAACTGTTAAGTTCCATTCTAAACGCAGAAATACATTCCATAACTTGGACAAAAGGGGAAGGAAAATCAATACAAACAAGGTGTGTCAGAAAGTGGTATAAAATAAGATTTATTGGCAAATCATCTTGACAATAAGGAGACACGTGTATCTGAGCTGTGCATTTTGGGGATTGCATGTCAGTCCCTTCGCCTTCTGAGATTTCCATTTGCATGCAATATGGGATACCTCTAGAATTCAGAATGAACTTTGAAGTGTCCTTTTTTGCCTTGCTGTGCTAAATAGCTCTTTCCACAGGCACACTATGGGAGAGGCAAAGTCTCTGTAACAAGAACCTGCCACAGGAAATGCACGAGGAAACAACCTTGGCTTAGAGAGAAAACTGTCACAGGAGAGCTGTTTCACATTTGTTTAACAGTGTTAAGCGCTTCGAGATTCCCACAAGGAGAAGTGCCTGGTGCTGTAAGTAAAACAAACAAAAAACACCAACCAAACCAAAACCCAAGGAATACCAACATCTACCCCCAAACCCTACAGCTATACCGAAACCTCAGATTTCTTTCCTATGTAAGAATGCACAGTACATCTCATTATGATCTGAGTTCCCTCTCTTGGAAGCCAAAGAGCTGCCTCACATAAAAAATAAAAGTTCAAAATTTAATAATAATTACTGTACAGAAATGAACTCAGGACAAAGGCAAAACAAAGTCAGAACTGATTTACCTTAGCATCTGACTGTGGGAGGGTAACCCCTAAGTTATGGTCAGACAGCAGCTGAAGAGGAAGACAGCAGTATCTTCAGAACATTTCCCCAATTTATTTCCATTCTCCCTGATCTCACTCTGTCTTTCCAAAGCCAGGACCTCAGAGATGCTTCTCTGTGCGCAACAGGGCCACAGCTTTAGATGAAGGGTTTGCCCCAGCAGCAAGTGCTAAATCACTGCTGGCCAGAAATTACTTTTAACAAGACCTTTTTGAAAAAGAAAAAAATAACAAAAAAAACCCAACCCAAACATTTCACTTCATAAAAAAGGAAGAGGTGACCAGATTAGAAAGTAAACCTCCAGGCTGCTTTTAATGCCTGTTTGTTGGACTGTGCTTCTTGTGTTGCTCTCCTGGCAGCACAGCCGGGAGCAAAATAACAGGGAGGCCCTACACCCTGCAGACCTACAGGGCCACCCCACAACGACAACAGCCTCCCCTCTTGGTGCAGGAAACCCCCATTTCCTTTTCACATCATGAGGAGAAGTCACTGAGTCATCTACAGCAGCTGCAGCCTCTTTCCAACCTTTTCTACCATCTGATACCTCAGTGGCTCAGCCTGAGCATCTTTTCTCCAACATTTACTTTTTTCCTCCCAAGCAATGAGAATTTTTTGGTCAACCAAACACTACCAAGCACCACGCTGACAGACTCAGTTCTGATTTCCTCCTCACTTTTGAGGGGAGAGAGGCAGAAGTGACCCACTCACTCCACACTTTGACAGAGGAAGTGAATGCCTTTAGAAAATTAGTTACCTGTAGTCTTTCTTTGGACAAGGAAGTAAACAACTATTTATGTAACTAGTTTTGATGCTTTAATTGTGTGTCATTGCACAATAATTCATACTTACACTTGAATATGCATCATTAACTGTTAAGTTCCATTCTAAACGCAGAAATACATTCCATAACTTGGACAAAAGGGGAAGGAAAATCAATACAAACAAGGTGTGTCAGAAAGTGGTATAAAATAAGATTTATTGGCAAATCATCTTGACAATAAGGAGACACGTGTATCTGAGCTGTGCATTTTGGGGATTGCATGTCAGTCCCTTCGCCTTCTGAGATTTCCATTTGCATGCAATATGGGATACCTCTAGAATTCAGAATGAACTTTGAAGTGTCCTTTTTTGCCTTGCTGTGCTAAATAGCTCTTTCCACAGGCACACTATGGGAGAGGCAAAGTCTCTGTAACAAGAACCTGCCACAGGAAATGCACGAGGAAACAACCTTGGCTTAGAGAGAAAACTGTCACAGGAGAGCTGTTTCACATTTGTTTAACAGTGTTAAGCGCTTCGAGATTCCCACAAGGAGAAGTGCCTGGTGCTGTAAGTAAAACAAACAAAAAACACCAACCAAACCAAAACCCAAGGAATACCAACATCTACCCCCAAACCCTACAGCTATACCGAAACCTCAGATTTCTTTCCTATGTAAGAATGCACAGTACATCTCATTATGATCTGAGTTCCCTCTCTTGGAAGCCAAAGAGCTGCCTCACATAAAAAATAAAAGTTCAAAATTTAATAATAATTACTGTACAGAAATGAACTCAGGACAAAGGCAAAACAAAGTCAGAACTGATTTACCTTAGCATCTGACTGTGGGAGGGTAACCCCTAAGTTATGGTCAGACAGCAGCTGAAGAGGAAGACAGCAGTATCTTCAGAACATTTCCCCAATTTATTTCCATTCTCCCTGATCTCACTCTGTCTTTCCAAAGCCAGGAAATGTCAACTCTGAAGTCATATTTTGAATTATATGAGATAGGAAGTGTATTTTGAAAACCCTGTATGATTAAATTACCTGACCACATTAAGCATACCTTGTTCTAGTGGAAAATCCAAAGGGAACACTGTGAAACAAAGGAGTAGTTTCTTGGGAGAGGAAATCAAGGCATCTGAACTAGATCTATTTTCAACAGTTCTAGAAAATATTTCTTTTTATAACAAAGAGGGATTTTTTTTTTCCTTTATAAAGCTCAAAATAATCCCAATATTTGACACTGGAAAAATAATATTTTTTCCTCTCCTATAAATATGAGAATTCAAATAGTCTAGATGTCATTGTCACCAGTTCAAATAAGGCATTAATGAATGCAGTAGATCATTCAAGTCTAAACAAACAGGTTATATACATAAAAACAAGGCGAAAAAATTAAAACAACCTTATAGAGGTAAGAACTATTGTATTAGTGACAGCCATTTCATTTAATTATTTAGGCAACAAAAACTGGAAAGAATAATAAAGAGTCTTAGAGACATTATTTTATTTTGGTCTACTTTAGAAAGACTAAAAACAAAATCCAACTGAAAGCTCATCATCAGTCTCTGCTATCCCACCATGGGGATTTAGTGTGTCTTTATGGATTAAATATACTTGGTCATTTCACATCAACCATTACTGAAATGATCCTGGGAGCAAGGTGCAGGATTCTCTTCAAGATGAATGCCCTAGCTAACCCCAGACTGCCTCCTGAACAAGCTCAAAACCGAAAAACTGAGACACAAAGATTTCAGAACAAATCTTAACATTGACAAACATTGCCCTCTTGAATCCCAACTCGGACATCTTCAGAGACAGCAAGAATTTACAATTGCCTCAGGTGCACACACTCTCCCATTAGACAGCACCAAGGCTTTACTCTTCTAAGCCACGGGTATCCCCGTATTTGTGGTGTAGTCAAATGTAAATACAGTTCAACTGAGGTTTATTGACTTTTATTTGGGCAACAGAGATGCACGGCAGCAATTAAGCTGCAGGTGCCAACATTCTGTATCGGGCCCAGATTTCACGGTTTTAACAGTATTTTTGCAATACAAAATTTGCCACATCTCATTAAGATTCCAAAGTTTGGAAAATCCCTAACCTGAAAGTCCACTATTTGCTGAGGAAGCATCATACTTACTGAAAAAGCAAATTAGCTCTGAGCACACCATCTTTAATGACAACACTTTAAAAAGACCCCATGCAGTCTTGTTTTGTTCTCTAACATATCCAGGTCAAAAACCTAGAAATGCTCAGGGGTATTTAGGAGAAGTCTTGCAGAAGTGATCCAGTTTTCAAATGTCATTAAGGATTTTGGCAGAATAATATTATATGAAATCTGTAATACACTTGCTAACGTTTATAATCCAATATCAGTTATAAGAAGTATTATTGCATCTTAAGCGTAAAAATATAGGAGGTTCTATAAAGAAATTAAAATAGCATTAATCTAATATTGATAGTCATATAAAATAACTCACAATTATGTAAGTTTCCATATTTAATTACACATTTAAAAATAAGTTATAAAAATAATTAAGCTTCTTTAAAACCCCTAAGATACTTTCTTTTAGGAGTTTTTACTCATATCTACTGATTGTCTAGCATCGGCAACAGCTTCTGGTACTCGAACAGTCATATTATCCATCGATTTCTTCAAGCAGATTTGGCAGCCTAAACGTGAGCTGTAGAGAAATACAACATTGTCATTAGCTGTAACTAATCATACATCTGACAGCACTTACCCCCTTACGCCTCCAGCATTCAGCCATCCCAAACACATGATCTAGAAACAGCCATCCTTGTGTACGGTCTTAATCAAGACCAGTAGTGAACTGCATGCATCAGTGCAAAGATATAAGTGGCAATAATCATGATTTACATCAATTAACCGAGCTCAGTACATTGGAAAGTTGTACATCAAGTACTTCCTACTTGCTGAGAGAACATATAATAAGGGCAACTTCCATTTTCAATGGTTCACTAATAGTTCAATTAAGTGCAGGGAATGACATTTGATCTCCAAAGGGAGATTTGTCATCTCTCAAGAGATGAAGGCAATGAATTTGAATGAAAGCCTCAGAGAAAGCAGAGCCTAACCCATCCAGGGTCTGAAGACAGCCCAGTGTTTTGAAACTAAACAACTTAAGATTGGGTCATTAAGCCAGAAATATAAGAGTGAAGAGACAAGAAACAGAGGAAGGAGAAGGATAAAATATTCACAGCCCCTGAGGAGACACGATCCTTCATTTTTCTACCTATCATTCTGCATGAAAAAACCTTGTATGTGAGGAATTAAAATAAAAAGATTTAATACCACCACAAAATTCTGCAGATACCACAAGCCACTTTTATCACCTGGATATCTTTAATTCAGTGTCTGTGCCTTGGTACTTAAGTATAGAATACTTAAATGTCACAAAAAGGATGGGCAATGTTCTGTAGCAGCAGTTGAATAATAATTTAATTGGTATAGGAATGTAGGCAGAGATATTAATGTAGTACCATGCAGTGATCAACTGTTGTTAAAGCTCCCAATTCAATGCTACACACAAAAGTAATACTTTTATGTAAATGGCTGTACACATCAACTTCAAATTACCAGAATGTATGTATAAATACATACATTACCAGAAGATTTAATCTCATGAATATGCATCTATAAGAATAGCTGTAGAAGTGAACTCTATTAGGCAGATGTGATTTTTTGATATTTATATGTAGCATTGCCTGTAAGGCTTAATTTTTCTGAAGTGCCTGTTTTTCACTAAAGACCAATGCTAATTGCATCTGCACTCTGCAGTGTGGCAATGGATTCACTTCATATGAAGTAACACTGCCCTTTGTTTTGAGCCTGCTACACAGCAGTACAAACAACTAGGCAGCACTAAATAACACTGTGAGAAACAAACTACCTTCTTCTATTCAAATTCTTCTACAGCATTTACGATTTTATATATATTTAATCAGATTCTGCCGCACTTTAAAGTTGAAGAAGTGGACTCCCCCCAAAAAAGATGATTTATTCAATCCCTGCATGAAATCTTTCCCCCTTAACCAGTTCTAAAGGTCTTCCCTTTATTTCCTGTCATTCTACTACTTAAAGAAAAAAAAGGGGGAAAAAAACCCACATAAACCAGGGAGTTAGAGCTGCACAAGTAAAAAGACATTGTCTTATAAGATTTTTTTTTCTAAAAAAAAAAATAAATCCATTTTCAGGATTTTCTGTATTTGTACCTGTTCCCACCTAATATTGCCAATGTTCCATTTACCTTTAAAACCACCAAACCTTAAGCTGATATTCCTGGAAAGACACTAGCTAGCTGACTAGCTATTTCAAGTATGCAAAGTTACCACTGTTCTACCCACCTCTCCATATGCATTTACTGGCACCTTTTAACACCAGATTTCTTTTCCTATCACCCAATGGCACAAGATCCTTGTGCATGTCTTCACTGACAGTTTTTGATTTTACCGTGCTGAGTAACATAACCAATTACTTATCCTTTACAGAGTCTTTGCTCTTAACCCATTACAACTCAAGACCTAGTAAAGAATTTCTAAAGTAAACTACGTGAACTGCAAGATCTATCTTCGTACTCAGTGACTAATCCAAAGAGCTCCCGTATCTGTTAGTTCCCTCTACAAAAGCTCTGTTGAATTCTTTCCTTGCCAGCCCATAGACACACAATGTGTCCAGTAGGGAATCATGGAGTTGTCAGAGTTGGAAGGAACCTCTAGAGATCATCTAGTCCAACTCCCCTGCTAAAGCAGGATTGCCCAGAGCACATTACAGACTCACTGTTCTCCAGTTCTAGTGAAGTCACTTGAAAAGCTGGGTTGCTACCTTCCATTCCTTTGATGTGGAAGCAGTTTTAAACCAACTAATTAAGCCTTGCAGACAGCAGTTCAGAAGTGGTGTACTGAATTCCTGCAGAACTCCTAGGCAAATGCTACCTAGTTATTACCATTTGTTACTACTTAATTTACTTATCCGCTGTAATACTACTTCTATGGATACATCAGTTTGAGACAGATGCTCCAGGAGGCCTTCTGCAAAGAAATCTTCCAGTGCATGGACATCCCATAACGTAAAAGCAAAGTTTCTCTTGCATCGCTGTCTCTAGAGATGTTATCTTTTTATATTTTAAATGCACCTTCTACATTATCCATTGGCTCTTCATGCAGACAAGTTTTCTGCTTCCGATAGGTTAGAAACAAAAGTATTTTTCTACTTTTTAGCACGCTGTTTCTCAGCTTATTTTTTCCTTCAGTATTTTTTTTTCCAAACATTTAACTTGCCAGGATTTGCATCCCCCCATCTTACTATTTTTTAATAATCTCTTCTGTTCTGCAGATATGAAAAACAATTTTGTTTCAACCTTTCTAATTAGTCCCTCATTTTAAAAAACGTTAGATTTCATGGTAGCTGCTAGATGAAACTTTCCCAAATCCAGAGAGTCACTGAAAAGATAAAACTTTTATCCTTACACTTATGACAGGGCATATTAGTGCATCTCCATTACATCAGTTTGTATCAGCACAAGAGACCAGGTAACCTATAACCAGTATCAGCCACTTAAAGCTCCGTTTTCCAAAGAAGTCACCCTCTCACACATATGAAAGATCCCTGGCCACAAGAAAACGGTGTTAAGAAAACCTGATAGACACAACAAAAGTACCTGTCTTCAGAGGGTCTAAAACTTAATTTGGTCTGAAACACTTTGAGAAAAAACTAACAAATATTTAAACAGAGAGCTCTAGCTTTTACTGAAGAACTGGAAAGCAGTAGAAAAACTCCTTTTTCTAGCTAAAAGTTTTGGCCTCCAGAGCTACTTTGGAATTGGTTTGGGCCAGAGCCTAAAAGTTACTCTTAGGAGAACTACAGCAGATTTAACAGTGAAGTAAATTCACACTTAATAGGCTTTACAATATTTTCTGGGAGACAAGAAAAAGGATAAACCAAAAGAAGCTGAAAGAAGTTTCTCAAAGCTTGACTTCTTTGCCTTCACAATCTCCCAGAACAGTTAAGATTTGGCTGAAGCAAGAAAAGCATACTCTCATGTAGAAACGTTACTGGTATAAGAGATAAAATGAGTTAATTCAGAGTACTTCTGTGCAGACACATAAAAAAACCCTATGCTATACAGGCCGGGTATAAAGCACTATGACACCACTGAAAGAGTTACAGCACACTTTGGGATTAGTTTCACCCAAAAGGGAATCTGGCTTATACGCACCAAGAGCACTCTGACACGAGTCAAAGCATGACAAGCAGGGGCACTGCAATGTGGGACACTGTTTATCCTAGAGAAGCCTCAGGGGGATGATCTTATCAATGTACATAAATACCAGAGAGGTTGTGGAGTCTCCATCCTTGGAGATATTCAAAAGCCATCTGGACATGGTCCTGGGCATCGGCTCTAGGTGGCCCTGCTTGAGCAGGTGGTTGGACCAGATGACCTCAAGAGGTCCCCTCCAACCTCAACCCTTCTGTGATTCTGTGAAAAGAAGATCTGGCCGAAGCTAAAATACTAACATAAGAGTCACACAATACATTAAGTAGCTACAGACTAATGGAGACAGAAAACAGAAGGGAAATGAGGACAAGAAAATTCATGCACGAGAGCAGCGGCAAAGTTTTTGTTGAAGGAAGTGGGTATTTGTCAGTATCTGACACTTCTGCATCAGACACCTCTGACAAGCAAGCACAGGCAACCGCCACTCTTCAGTTACAAAACAGTACTGACATCTTTTTAATATGAATTCAGAAAAACAATATTTAAACTTGCCCATCCCATTTGTGTACCAGAATCCAGCTATTTATTGAAAGTTGATTTAGGTATTGTAAGAATACTGGACTGCCCCATCTGCAAACCCTTCTTTCAGTTCTTTGATGTAGTGAAATGTGATGTTGCCTTACGTTTCTGTGAGGCCATAGGCCAGGTCCAGCATGTCCATCTCTTCATCAGTAATTGCATCTAGTTTCTCAAATATGTGGTCTTCAAAGATCAAATGACAAGTTGAACAGGCTAGAGTTCCTTCACATGCACCTAAAGAAAAATCAAATCAAGGTAACAGAAAATCCAAATTTCAAGTTAAAGCAGAACTTCAGAAGAAATCCTTCATTAATAAGTGTTTGTCTCATACAAGAAGTATCTCTGTTGATTAGTAAAGTTAATGTCTCATATATTCCCACATTCACATATCCACTCTGCATTCAAGTGTCAATAGTATTTCTATAGTTCCTATAACATTAAGATTTACTTGAATGCTGTAGCTGGTGAAAATACTTAAGTAATTCCCTTTCTACCATTTGAAGAGAAAAAAGCTTTCTACTGTAAGAATGCAAAAGCAGAAAATGCTGTCAATCAACACGATTCAATTTATTTCCAAGGTTGATTCTTCTATCCCTCTCTTTCCCATGGTTTTGAGGTGGTTTCCTCCAGCAGTTCAAGAGAAGATACTTGCTATCCAAAAAAAAAATTCCTCAGAAGCACAGGAAGGAGGCATTTTATACTTAGTATTTCTTCTGACTCAACAGAACGCTCATTCACTGCAAGGGTAGTCAGGAGAGAGAGAGATGTTTTTTTGTGTTGAAGAGGCCAATATATTACTAGGCAATCCAGTCTGAGCCAAGGACCTAATAATTTGCTATGGTTGAACGGAGCAAGCATCAACTACATCTACCTGCTACAGCAACATCACAGGACAGTAAAAGTCTGAATGCTAATTTGTCTCTGGCACTGTATAGGGCTGGCACAGAGTTCTCCACTTTGTTGAAAAAGAAACATGCAACGTCAAGAGGAGGAGAAAGCTGAACTCTTCACACTTGTGTAGAGAATGGGGTTGGAGCACACAACCCCCTACCTCTAATTTAAATTCATAAGAGAGAAGCAGGTAAGACATCAGCCAAGTTCCATTTATTTACTCATTTCCAGGGAAAGCAGCACCGTGAGTACTGTGACCACACCACCGTTGTACTTATACAGAAAATAAAGGAAGCGAGGTTGCCTGTGTACACGCTGCTATGAAAAGGAACAGTGGGATTCATCATCAGACCACAGGAACCATACAGAAAGCACCCTGCTGTTACATGCAGTCACGGTATCCAGAGCACATATGCAAACTGAGCATGACCCGTCTCCAAGTACATACAAACATGTGTGAAAACAGAGTTTAAATAAAGTGCCAAATCAAGTAAAACTTGTCGTACCAGCAATTTAAGTGGTTTAATGTTGGGGGAGGCGAGGGGCGAAGGGGAAAAAAAAAAATAATCCCATAAACAAAACAACACAAAATCCACTGACCAGTGGAAGGTGTCTCTGCAGCTGTAAAGCCAGCAGCAGCAGAGTGCAGCCGAATCACTCAACAGCTTTGCAAGTCTTTATACAAAGGTATTTCTATTCCTGCACAGGGGATGCCCTCTAGTGACAGAAATAGGCAAGATCTACGTTGTAGATTTTTTCTCATTACTTTTTTTCCTAAAGAGAACATAATTTCTACATTGTTTACACCGCATTATTTTTCTGCCCTAGTATGATGTTTCATTAGCAAATTATTATGGAAATAGGCTAGCATATGTTATAGTTAAAGATTGTCACAGTATCTCCAATGTTTAGTTTGGCTTCAGTTTATTGGCAGCATTATTTTTTTTCCACTTTACCACAACGCTGGTATTTACATAAAGTGAGAGAATATTTACTGTAGAGTACAGGCAGACTAGCCATAAGCCTTTATGACACATTTAATAAGTGATACATAAAGCTAGTTATCCCAATACATTACAGGTCTTTAAGAGACAATTCTACTTCCCCAAATGTATGCAACTTTAGACATAAAAGACACCTCAAACATAAGTCTGAGATTTAAAAATCTTACAAAAGATTTTATTACTAGCAGTGAAATTTATTTGCATCTAAATAAAACATACCTCAAATTTCAAACTGTGGTACACTAGCCTACTTTTTTTTCCCCTCCAATTGGTCCATGCTATGCATTCACCCATGTAACTTGTACTTCTGTTTCCTGCTTTAGTTTGTACTATTAATTCTTAAACTGATTGATGTTCACGTAAATACCTACCCTGAAGTATTTAATTGCCATTATCAAATACTACTGCTTTGAATGGGCAGACTCCTACAACTTCAATGGAACTAACTATGGAAAGTGCAAAAGTTTGAAGGAATATGGAGGTGTTACAACTTCCTCCTATTTTGATTTTCAGTAAAACTCAGAATGAGTTAAAATTTCACTAGGGCATTGGTTTCCTTTACCCCAGTTCTTCGGTAAGAATTAACTTTTTTACTCCTCCATGCTAACTGATACAGATTTGCTTATTTCTTTCACTTAGCACTCAAATACTACAGAAATTCGTGCAACAAAAAGGGATAATAAATTGAGACAGAACAGCAATAGAAAAGTAACCAGATACTGTTAGAAATACACCAGTTTTGTGTTGCCTCCAGAACATTTCAGCTCAGAAGCTTTTGCAGGTGGCATCTGTCAGATTCCACTTTGACAGCACTCTGTCCAAAATACCCTCCTTTAACAATCAAGCAAGGCTCACTCCAAGTATGTTTTTTTTAAAGCTTCACCCAAAATATTTTATGTAACTACAGGAAAAAGAAATGGGGAAAAAGTACAAATAAAGTGTATAGCTAGGTTTTATAAATAAATAAATATTCATTTACAGTTAAACTTGATGAACTTAAGGGTCTCTTCAACTTACACGATTCCATAAATATTTATGAATAAACTAGTAATTGAATATAGTTTCTAGACACTGTATGCAGAATTCAGTGAATCTACTTACCAAAGCCATCTATGTCTAGATTATTATCAACAACAACATCCAGCAGTGAATCCCCAGGCTTTCCTTTGGCTGTTAGTTTGTCACCATCACGGTTTATGAAATGAACAGTTATTTTATCTTCTGAGCTGAAAAATAAAAGTATATAATGGGATTAAAGAAAGAACTCTAGAATTTTTTAGACATTTAAATTGATTGAATACTACTAAACCAGTAACCAATATCAACTCTAAGAACACGTAAACCTAATTTGCTGTCCTTTAAAAGCTGTAACAGGTATAGGCATTTACTGCTGTGCATCAAACACGATGACTTGAATTCACATTTTTTCACTAGACGCTATATAGGGTCCTGATGTTTTGCCTTCCACCAAAGATAGTCAGAGCTATTTTATTTTAGGCACAATAATTGTATTTTTATCAAATAAAAGGGCTTATTTTAGATCTTTCTCTTTGCACCTTTCTGCAGACTCTTGCTTTGGATTTATGAAATTTTAATTGTTCTTGTCATTATCATTTAGGACAAATTCTTAACTTTCCCATTTCTGCTTAGCTTTTAAGGCATTTCACTTTATTAGTTCCAAAATTTAATTCTCCTCTCCTTGCAAAAATGCAAATTCTCCAAAAACAGTCTGCTTTTTGAGCACAGATTCTCTTAGGATTTCACCTTTTAAGTATCACTTCCAGTGAAATTCAAAGTTTTGATGCTGGCTTCAAATAAAGAAGGCTTTGTATTTTCCTGCTTTGCTTTTCAGACAATTATGTTTATTTAAGAAAAAAATTCTCTTGCATTCTGCATAAGAATTTCTTAAGACTAAAGCTGTTAATATTGAAAAAAAAAAAAAGAGGGGTTTTGTGTTCCATATTTTGTTATATCACATGGAAAATAAAGGAAACCTTCTAATATACTAACAAATAAAGCGGTTTGCTTGTTTTTAACTGGCCTATTATCTTTCCTATAGTAAGTGAGCAAAACAAGAAAAACTTGTTGGATAGACAGTGAAGAAACCTGCCAAGACATCAAATGGAAAAACTGAAATCTAATGCAAAAATTATATATTTCAATGTGAAATCCACATTTAACAACAGCATTTTTAATATTACCTCTAATATTTTTAGTAACTGTGGGCCTTGAGTGATCTATCATATGGAAAACTTTCAAGCTTGAAAACCCAAGTCACCCCCCTGGAGAACTCTAACCTGTAGAGCTGAATATTAAAGCAGAAACCTGAAAGTGGCCATACTGAAACATCAGTAAACAGATTATTTTTTGAACTGGCTGTAAAAGAAAATGTGTTTTTAGCAATCACAGCCCTAGCTTGTTTTGAAAAACAACAAATGTTTGTTGTTCTAGTCTTGATGTACTTGCCACAACTGTAAGCTGAGTTGGCAGTACATGCTGTGATTCACTATGATGTCACATTCAATTCTTGTCATACCACCCCTCAGTCCATTCTCCAGAAGGCAGCCACAAGCTGCTATTAACTATAAATTGATTCCATAATTATAATCAATAATGAAGGACTGACCTTGCTGATCTGCAGAACGCAGCTGAAGCATGCATGATAATAAGATTCAGTAATCTTAAAAGATGTAGCTTTACAAGATGTAATTAACATTGCACAGACACCTGTGGTATCAAAGGACAACCTCCAACCAACCATTCCATGGGGGTTTAAGCTACCACTCTGCTCTCCTTTTTGCTCCTCTGCTGTGCTAACACCTCCCACAGCACAACCAAGGAAACAAGCACCCACTTCTCAGACACTAGTACAAAACTCACCACCTTCACCAGTAGTTTAAGACTGAAGGATTTAGACTGCATCTGGAAAGGTGTAGATTCACATTCTGACAGCCAAAGTAAACCACTGACACTGTAATTTTAAACTGCTTCAAAAAGCCCTTCCAGAGCTCACCAAAATACACTCTCATTTACAGAAATATTTGTCAGCGTGACAGACATAACCCTGACAGGAGACACAGGGCAAGAGGTACTTGCGTTTATGGGCATAAAGGTATAGACATGGCAAGTACTAAATTATTTGTTCAATATCCAAAACATACCCTTTCCTCTACTGTAGGATGAGGCAATCAAAAGTAAAGCGGACCAAACAGGAAGATGTCTGGCCATCCATTAGATCACTGGAACCCTTATGAAAGACACGTCATCTCGCTCCCAGTTTTCAAAACACACCTGGAACTGTCTTCACCTGTGATTACACTTCAGTCTGGCACAGAAGAACAGTCTGCCCTCCCTCCTTTCTTCCTTCTATCTCCAGCATTCACACTGCCATGCAGTAAACTGGGTCTGGAAACAAAACTGGCCAAAACTCAATCTTCACAGGTCATCGGCCACACAAACGTCAGATCCAGTCCACAGACAGATTGCCCCATTATATTACATTAGTTGAAAACGATTGTGTAATGCAACTTTATGATGCAATAACACAATGTAAGCTTAATGATCAGCTTGAGCTGATCTCTTTCTAATGTTAGAGTGTGAGTTTGGGTGATCCCCACTCCAAATTGCCCTGCCATCACCCTTACACTGGTGTTACCACAGGTCAACTCATTTTGCTAATCTGGCTGAAAAAATCAACCATCAAAACCAAAGTAGTCTCAGCTGAATCAGCAAAACTGACAGAAGTGCCACTGCCCACAACAAAAATGAGGACAGAGGAGTTGGATCCCTTTTCAGTAGTGGCAATCTTACATCAGCTTCAGCCACTTGTGGAGCTACACTGTGGCTGTGCGTGTCTAACCAGCGCAGCACCCAGCTGGGGGACAAAACAAAGCACCTCCACTGACTTTTGTTAAAGACTGCTACAGCAGTTAGCCTTTCATACAGGACTTAATGCACCCTGCTTGATAACTAAAATTTATTTATTTGTAATAAAGTTATAGATAGCCTTCATAAGTCTTCCAGTAGGATCTGGTTTTCTGCTATTGCCATCTTTACCACTTTTCCTACAGCCAAAATGATTAATTTTTTTTTTCCTCTAAAAAAAAGCATTGAGGCTTTATTGTGCTTGAGCCTGAGTGGTGAAGATACTTTCAGAAGCATGTGTACATAGTAATCAGACTAGTCAGACATTCAAAACATACAGTGTGCAGTTATTTTCAATGACCGGGAGACACCATTACAAAAATAAAAATCACACCTGCATGAAACAATATTTAGGCTTTATAAATTTCAAGTAACAAGGCTTTTGTTTACCCAGACATTGTTTGCATGAAGAAAAAAAAAAGAAACAAATGTCACCATACTGTGAACTAGTTACAGGCAATTAACACGAAACGTGCCAGGTCTATGCAAGCATAAATAGCCTCAGGATTATCAGGAAGAACACCACATATTTTGTGTAATCTGCATAAAGCATAAGTATCCCAATTCATGCTCAGATGAACCCTTTCCGCCAGATGTAAAATACAATTAATTTCTTCATATGGTTGCCACAGTACTATCAGCCTTGTTATCAAGCTTCCCTAGGATACCCTAAATTAAGCAGACTGCAAATTCACAGAAGAGCACCAGAGAAATACAAGTGCTGTTTGTTGTCCCTCCCATGCAAAAACGGGTAAGTATTGCAAGAATCCTGACAGCTACCTCTTCCCTCTTAAAAGAGGTATCCTTTTGAATCTTTGGCTATTACTTTCAAATTAAGAATCACCTCTTACATTCCTCCAAACAAAACAAAGATGTTTTGTAGCCTGGTGTTGCACATGGCAAGACCAACTCTTTTACTTCCAGTTCCTTTATTAAATGGTAAATCTAACAGTTCTACCTAATTACCTAAAGACTTCCATGAATGAAACTATTATACAGGCCTCAAATTACAGAAGTTGTTTTAAAGATTAGTTGAGATTTACATGTAGTAATTATGTTGTGCACCAAAAATATTGTACAGCTACCTAAATGGGTTTAATAGAATTCTGACATAGCTACTGTCCACCACGAAATGAAAAGAGAGGATAATGGATAAAAATAGAGCAAGAATGAAATGGAAATGAAAGCGTAACACCTGATCCTTCACCCAAATCCTTGGGAACCTCTACTCAAAAGAATCACCTCAGCTAATGATTTACACAGCTAGGTTTTCATCCTCTAGACAAATACAGCTGATTTTATACATACAAAAAATGTATGTATCTTTTTAGTGGAATAATGCTGACTGACTATATGAAGTTTAGGAACTGGGTCACAAAAAGTATGATGTCCAGAAATGGTAGAACTAGAGAAAACTTGCACATAAATGGAGGAAACACTAATATATGAAAGAAACAAGGGTTTTCTTCTTCTCCCAACTCACTCAGCCAGGTTATAACATGGAGTATGTAAACAATACATTTGAAGGACTTGTTTGTACGAGCTTTTTTGCTGGTACACTTGTGCAATGAACGCGAATAAATTCCAATCTGTGTTCAGTCTGTTTGTGAAATACCTGAGGGATTACAGGTCTTACATTACTATTTGATAAGGAAATGTTTTCCCTTTTTAGTATTCTTTTTCCTTCCTTTTTCAGCCTGTTCAATAATTTTTACAACTTTCAAAAATTTGACAATTCTTTACAAAGACAACTTTTTGAATGAAAAGCTGCCAATCAGGGACCTCAAGTGGGTCAGGGCACCCACTCGGTGCTTATTTTTAAGCCAGTCAGCAGGGTCCCTCAGAGATCTAAACTACCAACTTAACCTATCTCAGATGGGAATCCTAGACTAAAAGGTTAGTTTGTTTCTCCATATTAAAAATATCTGCTGGAACAAAGTAAAAGAGCCCCTGCAGGAGAGCTTGAAAGCAAAATACCAAAACAGCATTGATACAAAGGGCACTACCCAACCCTCTGGAAACAGGCTAGGCAACATCCCTGACACTGGGCAGCTGATTCCAGGTCTTCTTCCAAGTCAAAGAAACTTCTCTGACAACCAACTATATTAGGCTTTTAAAACTTCTGTACTTTAACTACTGAAAGTTAACTGTAGACTCTGACTTATCTTCAAATATACAAGCTATAAGCCAGAAGGTCATGCATAAACACAGTCTTTGTACTGTTGCAAATCTATATAATTGTGGGCTGCAGAGTATTAAATGTCTACAGATATAAGGCATTTTGAAATACCTCCTCGTGTATACTGGTGAGGAGGGGTTCTGCACACTTGGAGGCACAAGTGCTCTTCAGTAAAAAAAAACTACCAAAGGCAGAAGAGAACTTCAGTATTGGATTCTCTCTGATATGTGCTGTACTTCTACCATAAGCCTAGCTTGACTTTCACAAAAAAAAAAAAGAAGCCAGAACTGCACAAAAAAGCAACATTGATAAGGTCACAACCCTTTAGAAAACTAGTTCTAAGATTAGGAACCCTAGTTTAACTTTCCATAAGACCATCAGCTCTTCCAGCGGGGTTCCGGATCACGCAGGCCCCGTGGTTTAACCGGGCCGGTGCGGTGCCTAACCCCGGCCGGTCCCCGGGCCCCTCCAGCCAGCAGCCCCCGGCGCAGCCCTGCAGCCACTGCCCGCCCCTCCGACACCGCGGGGGGAGGCGGGCGGAAGGTCCCCCCGCCGAACGCTCCACTGCCACCGCCACGGGACGGCCAGAGCCGGGGCGCGGCGCGGCCCTGAGGGTCCGAGGAGGAGGCCGGGGCCGGGAAGCGGCGGGTCCGGGACAACGGGGCACCGAGCGACCGGGGGAAGGTCACGCAGCGCCGGCCCGGCCGCGC